CAAAACAAATTTTAAACTTTTGAAAACCACTCATGTATGCCATACGAAGTAAGAAAACTTCAATAAAATAGACTTCTGTCCTCTCATATTTCATGTTTGAGATGGGAATTTGGATTTATTTTTGCCAGTGAAAAGATTTGAAGGAAGTTTAAATCAAAAAAGAAGAAAGAGAATTTGCGGATGCAATGGTTTACCTCAGGCATACCCACTTCGCCTTTGTTTTCATATGGTGACAGTGCCTGTGCATAATTAAGCGACATTCTGTAATTGTAAATCTCATCTAAAGTATAACCAATGACTACACTAGTCTATTTGAAGCCGCACACCAACACGTTAACAAGAAGAAATGAAGCGTTTAAAACACATCAGTAAATGAACGGAATCAATAATTATTTATGCGTAATATCTTTCAATTACAACAGAAGGTATACATATACGTCTTTGTTGACCTGTAGGTGAAACACCTATGCTGATGATAATGTAAACATCAACCCGTTTTTCCCGATTGCGTGAGTTCCCAATGTTTTAGAATCTAAAAAAAATTCTAAAGTCCTCTTCTACATGAGATGAAAGTGTAAACACGCAACCTGAATAACATAGCACTTTTGGAGGTAGTTGGTAGTAAGACCAAGGCAAACTGGAACTCGGCTCATCAAGGACACTGTTCGAGAGGAGCATCCCTTATGTTCCAAGATGGCAGAGCATAACGCAAGAAACCGTGTCCGTGTAGTTTTACAAACATCTCTGAACAAAAATAAATCATTTTTCTTCTCGACGAGCGAAAACCAGTTCCGAATGGATAAAGATTCTTGTTTCTATTTAAAAATCAAAATCAGGTCTTCTTGCAGAGATTTACCGAGAAATTCTCCAATATTCACAAAATTGCCTCACCTTAAAAGAATTGTAAAATAGTTCACTGTTTTAAGACTCTAAGAGGATTCCATCACATTCATTCCATAGCGTAGTTTAGCATCTATTGTTAGTTTGCAGCATTGAGTTCATAAGAAAATTTTTAATTCTATGTTTTAATACCTCGAAGCTTAAAAGCGAGATTTTCTTAATTATAATGTGATCTTAGTGACCTCTGTTCGATCGTCAATACAGCTACTTAAGTTTGAAGCAGACATTCAAGCTTTTTCTTTGTTGCCGAGGAATATGGAAAGAATCGTCTAATTTTATGTGGTATCCCGAGTCATTATAGCAGTTGCTTCTGATACGACATTTGTTGATGCTATAAATTTCAGAGACCTTCAGAAAAACTTTTGGAAAATTTAAGATGAGAAAAATTGGCAAAATACGGATGGCACCTGTCCTATATCTACAGTAAACTCCAGACATGACTTCAATTGAGTACTAGCCGCTTTAATCCGACTTTTCATCCCACTAAAAGACCCTGCTGATCTTGACCATTGCGAAACTGAACCAATCATTTTTGTCTCCAAAGCATTCTTAAACAATCACTGACAAGCTTATATGACAGAAAGCTGCTAACTAAGGTTGATTGTTGTCAGTTTCATTTAAACTATATGATCAGAATAAAGGGGCCATTTGATGTGAGAGCTTTCTGTAACACCCTACTACAACACTATGGCTGCACAAACAGACTTCACATTATGATTATACATGATCTTATAATGATACTAAGGTCTTAACGCGCATAACTTGTTGCCTAGATTGGCAAAATCTACAATAGTCTGTCACTATGGTGCTTGACCAAAAAAGGCTTACATATATCGTAAATTTTCAGCTGTTCGTGTAAGAGATATAGCTAGCGCCTGGAGTGTCAGCTCAGCTGAATGCGATTCAACAGCGATAAACCTGAAATGCGACGGGACTTGCTAACAGTGGTTCCTTAAAAACAAAGTAACCAACTAACATGTCTTCCATCTCTGCTAATGCACATTCGGGCTCCAATGTTCTCGTTCTCTCAATCATATTCACATAAGGTGACTGCAGAAGATCAAAAGGAATCTTTCGACATTTCATGAATTCTGGGGTTTTGTCGAACCTGAGCATCAAATCACTTGCCAACAGGAAAAAAAACCTGCACGTTCTCTATAAACTCTCACGTCTTAATGGCGTATTCCAGAAAATCACAATCGGCTCGCATAACGTGGCTTTCTATCTCCCTTCTCCTCTCATTTAACTGTCTCAGAACATTTGCACGTGTTAGTGCTGGCGACAATCCGACCAGCACTTCTAAGCAAAAGCGGCGCTCACGAATATTTCTCGACTGATCTAGCAGACTTACTACTGAGGAGAGCAAAGACTGGATACCTCTGAAAACAATTTTCAAAATACACTCCACCACAGACTTGTTACAAATACAAATTTATAACTATTAAAATATGTATAAAGACCATGCTTCTTCATTGCTGATAT